TACTAGCATCCGTGAAAAATCTGACATTTGATTCCTTGGTTTTTCATTTTTAAAAGCAGTAAAATTTAACAAAAAAGCTGTGAAAACTGAAAGAGAAAGCATACTTTGACAGCAGAAAGCCTGAACAATGCTCATTATTTTATTCTTACCATGAAACAGTCTATTAATGTCCCAAACAACAAATTACCACCTGCTTCAATTGCATCGTGCAGTATTTGCTGTTAACCTCTTCACAGATAACAGGAATACTCCTGTGCAGCTGTCTCAGGTGGACAGACTGACATTTAGATATCCATCTTCTCCATTGCTGAGCCAGCCTGAGTTTATACTCAGAGAGATGCTGTGCGATGAGCAGTGCCGGAACCGCAAGTTCTGCGAGTGCCTCCACATAGTTCGTGTTCCTCTCAATGTCGCTCTGGACGTAGTCCTCGTCGATGAAGGTATGTTGTTATATTTCTTTCCAGAATGCTTTTAAACAGGAAGTTCTGGAATATACTTAAGTCTACTTTCCTGTACATATTTCAGTATTTATTTATAATTTGATAATTATACAATTTAACAGTTAATTTATATTCATAATTTTTGGTAATACAGTCATACTTACTACATTAAATTTATTGCATAACTTTAATGTTTCACACAATTATCATGTTCATAATTGTTAAAAGAAAGACCACAAAGAATTAATTATAATTAGACACTGTGAAAGCTTCATATCATATTTTTTGTGTTTTTATAGGTTATGGTAGTAATCACTCCAACACATTTCATCTACATGGATACAATTTCCTTGTTCTGGGTTCTGAGTCTCTTGGTCATCCTGTAGATGTGGCTGAGATTAAACAGATTGACAGTCATGGCTTGCTCTCCAGAAACCTTGTGGATGCTCCCAGAAAAGACACAGTCGTAGTCCCTAATAAAGGCTACACGATCATCCGTCTGTTTACCGATAACCCCGGTTAGTAACATGTGCTAATTGTCTTAACATGTGTCTGTTATTTGAAATTGTAGCTCAGTGAAATAGAATCCAGTTTGAGAAGCTGATAGTAATTCAGCTCGTTAAGAAATTCACGACTTATGTGGAACCTTATATGAAGGTGACGAGGCAGGTACCCACTGGAGAGGAGACTGTTGGTAACGGAGCTGGTCCTGCTGTTGTGGCAGAAGAGAGATCATTGCCCATGGCCAGTCATTTCACTGACTGAGTTGACGCACCTCAATGATAATTGTGATGGTCATCATTAGAGGAGGAGGGGGTATTGATACTGAACATTTATGGAAGTAGAAATATATATTTCTGTTATGGATGAAGAGAGTAGTGTGTTTCATTTTTATTTTTAGGTTATTGGCTGTTTGAGGTTCGTTCAGAAAGCTCCATCATAGGAGGAGGGTTGCAGTTCATTGTCCAAGTAGGCGAACAGAATCATCTTCCTCCAGTACCACCAGATTTTCCTCATTGTGGTACCCATAAATGGCCAAATTTCGTATTTTGACATATTGTTAATATTTATGTTTGTAATTTTGTGTTTAAGAATAAAGTTTATTTATTCTTTCATTGTTTATTTTATACATTAGATTTCTCAGCACATTAAATGTCTACACCATGTAAAAATTAGAAGGTTGATGGGATTGCTAAAACGCAGTGTTTTTAATGTAATTTAGATAGGAAATGACATGTTTTGATATTGGACAGTTTAGTATATATCTTTTCTCTTGCATTGTCATGGAAGAGAAAAGTAATGATGATGGATGATGATCAGTTGAATAAGGAAGATAATGTTTAGGAAGAGAGAAAATAAAGATGATGAGAAATTCTAAGATTTGGAGAAGGAAAATTAAGAGCTCTGGGTTATGACCCAATATTGACTCATGATGCTGCTTTGAATGTGTCAGCAAGGGTCTCAGTAAAATTTTAATATTGGTCAAGATTTTACTTTGACAAGGCAGCTTAGGTATTCAATAAAAGGAAGATGGCACTTCAGCAGTTGGTAGTGGAGACAAGAGCAGAAATGCTGTTACTGCATATATCGAAGATATACGTAAGTAGAGAGGGGAGTACAGTGGAAGACGAAGTTCAGAAATGGCTTCGGCCAGAATATGACATGCTGTAATGAATTAAAAGTAGTTTATTATTTTTAATATTATATTTTGTTTTGTATGTACAGTTTTATTTTGAAGGCATAGCGGGCATATTGTATTTTAGTTGTTGAGTTGGCTAGCCATATCTGTGTTGTTGATCGATTTTACAGATTCATACCAACATCAATAAAAATCTCCCCAGTTCGTGTGATCTTGGTCAGGCAGTGTGTGTCGGTGAGTGGTTAAGTATGGTGGCTAAGCTTTATTACGCCGAGATTTTCATCAATGCAGTTCTGCTATGAGGTATGTTTGATAGGGATAATCGTATGGATGAAGGAAGACATTGTTTCGAAGTTAATTAGAAATTACGTTCATTTGGATTACGGAAGACATTCGGAATGTTCGGTACACTCTCTTATTCGGAAACCTGTATTGTCGCACAGTTCAATTATTTATCAGTATATATTAAAGCGTGTTAATAAATGAAAAGTCTGTTGGAATTCGTAAGGAATAGTTTACTGATGTTTAGAGAACAAGAATTCCTGGAGCAAGCCTGAGTTGTCTGAGAGGTTAGGTGTGGTCACAGAATCGCTCGGAGAAAAATGTCTAGCATTGAGTGTGGCATGAGTGGTAATTCCGACCTAAATTTTTAAAGAAAGTAGGTCATATTCCGTGATGAAACTGCGTAAAATCCGGACTAAGCAGGTCGCAGGTGTCCAAGGCGAACTACGTTACGACGGACGTGTTGCTAACGGGAGGTACCAAGGGACCATTTCGGGGAGTGTACCGTAGTCAGGGACAAGGAAATATCAGATTTCGTGCAGCAACTGAATGTTCTAAGTCACACCAACCACTGCATTTTTGATGAAGTCCTCCTCCTACGAAGTCATGCTTTGAAAACGTCTTTAATCATATGCAACACCGAGGTTCACTCTAAGTATGTTGCCTAGTTCTAATTATAAGTTTTATGGTTCCTTTGGTTCACTTATGTGTTTCATATTTTATTTTCCTGTTCATCTGCGGTCTGATTGTGATTATATTTCTACCAAATCTGGAAGCCCCATATTCACAACTGTAATTGCCTGTTACAAATATGTGAGGTTGTTTAACAGTTTATTGGTGTTTTTATTTTTACCATAAATTACCTACGTATTTTATTTTTGCAAATACAAGAATAATTAAAATCAACGCCATAACCATAATATGGGCTACAGTTGAAAAAAGGTTAAGAACCTGTAACCGTCCAGGCAACGCTGCAAGGGCGAGCTGGCCGAAATTCGTCAAAAACAAAGAATCGGCTGTAAAGTGAGAAAGTTGGGGGAGGCCTCACATGTGGTCCTTTTTTGGGGGGGAGTAAGCCAGCAGCAAGCAGTGGTGTTCAGGAAGGGTGGCTGGGCAGTTGCAAAGAGTGGTGGAAAGTTTCTTGAATGTAGAGGTTGGGACGTTTGTGGGCTGGTGTTTTGAAATAAATACATAATAAAGGTATAATTGGATTAACAGTGAATCAGTGTCTCTCAATCACACATCCGATCCCCGTGTACGACCCTGAGCACCCGAGCTAGCCGAGGCAAACGACTAACCAAGGACGGTTATAAACCACTACACTAGAGGAAGACACATACAAGCTGGTCACAACGTTCCTTTTTAACTGCGGCTAACAAATCTTCAAGATCTAAAACTAGTCATCAGGACTGTGTTTCTGATAGTCAGCCTTTCACGTGGAATGAAATGTATAAAAATCATGGAAGCGGATCAAACAGTGTGAGAACTGAGGGCAACACCCATATGCTCTGATGTCACTGCAGAGGAACTTTGTAGGCTTATGTGAAGGTATGGTGGGGTAGATACGTAGTTGAGGTGGGGGAGGTATACAGGTAATTTGAAGGTGATGTCGAAGCTGTAGAGCGATGCATGGAGGATAACATAGCTGGGTCTTCTGGATCATAAGAATAGTTCTCACGAAGGAAGATTTATCCTTCGAAACGTAGCGATTTTTTTCAGGTTTCTGAATTTTTAAGGCTGAAAAAGGCGACAGATAACGCCCAAAACAAAGCAAGTAGTAATAGTCTCTAATACCATCGCCGAAGGTATTTTTTACAACACTTCATTTGCTGTGTTATTGATTAGATGGCGTATTTGATTTTTGTACGTATTTAACTGTGTTAGGGAAAGGAGATATGTGTTTGCAGGTACTGTTTGTAAAATTCATGTTCGAAAAAAAAATGCAATTACTCATATAATACGCTCTATTAATTTAGAACGGTTTTAATTTTTAACGTTCGTCCTAGTGCGAATTGCTTTCTGGTACATCGAGTGTGACGGGGGAAGGGGGGAGGAGTATTACGATCGAGGAAGGGAAGTTATCTGTTCGATTTATGCGATTTCATCCTTTGTGACTTCTCTTTGGAACACAACTGTCTGTCTAATACATGGATTCGTATTTGTGTATATGTGGAGAATTGGTTGTGGAGATGGTAATGAGCGAAGGCGTGCGCGGACAAGTGGATGGCTTTTTATGTACAAGAGGTAAGGTTTCTAGCCGCTTTAACCACTAGGAAAATTAGGCAGTTGTCTAGGGCGAAAATATTAATAAATTGAGGGCGAGGAACGCTGATAGTTTCTGCCCAGTTGGCCAAATATACTTGCGCCAGGCTTGGGTTAGGTGGACATGTAAATAATCGATATATATATATATAATTTTTGCTTGACGTAAATTCTTCTTCTATAGGACATACAAGCACAATTTAATGGTATGTAAGACTTGAGGTTCTCACAGCGGTGAGTATGAAGATTTCTGTCTTCTGGGTTGTTGCGCTGTGTAGTCTCGTCGATGTTTACCAACGTTTCAGAGGTCATACTGCCTCCGTCATCAGGGCGATGAGTATGAAGATTTCTGTCGTCTGGGTTGTTGCGCTGTGTAGTCTGGTAGATTTTTACCAACGTTTCAGAGGTCATACTGCCTCCGTCATCAGGGCGATGAGTATGAAGATTTCTGTC